GTCGGTCTGATCTCAATTGCACGTGCCAGTGAATGTCTCAAACATGAATCGGCCAATTCGCGCGTTCGATCCGGGCAAAGCAAAACTGGAAGTATTGGCCTGACCCATATCCCTGCCGCTTCCAAGGATCCAATTCGGAACCCAACCCTGGTCCGCGCCATAGGAGTGACAAAAGAGAATCCATTTGCCTCATGCCCCGCTTGCAAACACAGGGATGAGCTACTATTGGAATGCTCTTTCTGGCCAAATCACCATAATTCCAACCGTGGAAATAAGGAATCGCAAGTGTACACCCCAGAAAGAGGGAATTGTCACACGGTACTCCCATACAGATTAGCATGAAATCAAAGAAAACCCATCCGTGTCAGAGGAATCTCCGTTTCTGGGTCCTGGATCTCCGGTCCGGATCTGTCCATTAAGTCGCAGATTGCTGCACGCCGCGTGCCTTCTCCGTCTGCTCCTGCCGGTTCCAAGCTCCAGCAGGTCTCTACCCAGACTCTTTGAATGGCTTGTGGTTAGAAGGGCTTGACGTAGCTCCTTAGTCAATTGCAAAGGTCCTGAACTGGGGCAAGGGCCTCAACGAGATTCCCCCACCCCTAACATTGCCCATGCAAAGGAAGGAAGAAGTCCATCTATTTTGAACTTAGGACACAGGACTGAGGCGCTTGAGCACAAAGAAAAGCGTACAACCAAAAATGAAATCGAAATGAGCCGCAAGATGACGGGAGGAGTAAAAGCAGCAAAATGATCGTCGGAAGATCGAACAAGTAAATAAAGTAGCTCAGGGCTTCATGAAGGTATGAACCAAAGGCTGACCCCAGCCACAGCTCCTCAGGCTCTTCAGGCTCTTCAGGCTCAATGGCTGAGATGGTACGTACTGAGGTGCCTCGGACTCGTAACGCGCCGGCACAACTCGCACTTCCAGTTTCCAATAGATAGGCCAGGGAAACACATGATGCAAACCTGGAGGTTTTTCAAGCTCTGGTTACCAACTGTAGAGATAGCTGGAACTGGGTGGGCCATACTTTCGCTGAAGAAAAGGTGGGGAATCAACCACTTGGAGACTGGGCTGGCAAAATTACCCATTTAAGGGGTTGCTAAGGACAATGCTGGGCTGGTATTGAACAGCCCAAGTTGGCCCAACCTTAATGCAGGGGTACAGAAACAAATGACTTCGAAAAACGGCAAAAGGGTGCGCGCTGACAGGTTAAAACAAAGACCGAGATCCCAACGGCCTACACAATGGGCTCGAAGGAAAGCGAACACAGCAATTAAGTTCGAAAACAACTCTTGTGTGTGTGTGTGAACAGGACTGGGGTATGAAAGACAACTCTATTGACATGCCAATGAAAAGGGTGATTGTTGGAACCAGCTCGGCATGTTCGGACAGCTCCATAACTCAAACAAATCGAACGGTTGGCCGCTTGTCAAATTGGGTAAGTTCCAATCCTGCCCCGGGCGTCATGGTCACGTGCAAAGGTGTAGACGCCGTTTGTGCCCCTGATGGACTTGGGAAACCCTTGCCGCATGCAGGGCGAGTCGTGCTCTCAAGCCCCAGCCACCAGAAATGACCGACAAACAGCCGCGACAGGTCCGAACTGAGGAGCCAGCTGGTGGGGACAGAGAACCTGACGGGGCCAAGCTTCGAGCTGTGGACCTCCTAAAAACAGATTGTAAAGCGGACGTTGAGTGGCAGATTCCAAGAGTATCAACACATCCCATGAATTGGCGAATTCCAGTGCTGAGTTTCCTTTGGGCTGTTCAAAGGGGGAGACATAGGGAGCCCTGTAGGCACGCATGAATGCCGTAAACATGCCGGCGTGCCTGCGGCTGCGCGAGCTGCGCGCAGGGCTAGGCACCAGCAACAAAGAGGCCTGCGGTGCCGATTGCTTGATATGTTCCTCTGGAGAGAGTTCTCTCTAGGTTGTGGGCCTAGGCCTCAGTGGTTTTGAAATCATATGCGGGAGGCATGATCCATACCGGGTTGGGCCGGAACCATGCGTTTCAACAGACTCCTTTCGGTACCCATCAATTGAAATGCCTAAGCGAGAAGTGCAGGTGCCCCATGATTTTTCCCTTTCCCCTAATGAAGGCTCCAATGATGCTGTGGGTTTTTTTCCATGCCCAGCCTCTCCCCCCGCACCCAGTCCCTACACCACCTTTTGAGGTTTCATGGGAAATTGTAAGGACGTACCTCGAGTCAAATTGGTACCACAGTGCAGCTGACTTTGGTATCGCATGTCGTGTTAAACGAACCCCAACTTTCCCAGACACCATAAGAAACGAAACCCTACTTTCCCAGACATCGGCACGACCCTAGCGAACCGGAAGCTCTGGCGCCTTCGGATCTGTCCATTTCCAGTTTTCCAGGCACTTGCCTCGGACCAGGCAAACGTTGCGAAAGTAAGCCATCGACACCATGGGTAAGGCTGAAATGCAAGAAAAGTCCTGGTGCCACACTACATCAGGGTAAAAACAACTAGCACAAACCCCTTTACGTAGATGAGTAAAGGGGATTGCTAAACCAACATCCGGGAATTGCGCCACACCTTCATCCATCTGTGCGTGTTCTGAGTTTACCTAGAAATCTGTCTGGTGAGATATGCAGAACGGTCCATCAGTCTCTTGGCTCTTGTTGTTTGTTTATAAATCAGCGGTTAAGCCGCACCAAACTAACAAGTTTCCTTCAACTTCCATGTGGCGTGACATCATTCACTGCCAACGGCTCATGCAAGGTTGCGCGCATGCCTCCCTCGAACTATCGAATTTGGATACTACTCTACCCTTATGGAGATGTTGGGGCACTCCGGTGCCTTAGGATTGTGGTGTCTTGCATGCCCTGTGCAACATCTCCGTTTTTGCGCGCCGTCCACAGCCGCAGAAGCGCTGCTTGCTTCTGCCTTCTTTGCAGCCTGAGGCAAGGCAAAGCACCCCCCCACTTTATGCCTGGGATTAAGTGAGGTGTGGTCGGATCTCAGTCAACCGATAGCCTGCCAATGGTCGGCACCAGGGAACGAACATGTTACATGTCAGCCACGGTCAAGAGTCAAAACATGCCTTTGGATACCAGAAAGACATGGGAACATGAGTGAGTTGCCGGTCTTTTGTGGGAAAATCGGTGAGTCGCCATACAGTATGCCTGCCCAAAGTTGACCATTGGTTGACCATAGACCGATAGACTACTGGATATTTTGACAGAAGCTACCCACAAACCATGGCATGAATCCAGTGTGTTTCCCATGGCTGCCTGACTGCCTGAATCCCAAGTTTCGTCCAGGAGAAGTCTGCAGGACTCGGTCAATCATGGCAAACGTCTGGGCTTAAGCTGATAACGACGTCAGTTTGCTTGCATCCGGCTTGACAGCACGCCCAAATTTTCGCCACGAAACCCACTCCCTCCCCAACCCTGGCCTTTGCCTTGCGCGTGGCGCTTGCCTTGGGCGCCTTCCTCTTCTCCGGAGGTGCCAAACGAGCGATGACAAACTGCTGCGCCTGCGGCATGTTGGCCCCCCCAAACGCTAGCAGGCACTACAATCTGGAAGACCGTTTTAGTGGTGTTGATCCAATGTTCATCATCCACTGTTAGTTCACGCATAGCCAAACATGGGCACTAAGCGCCAAAGTGAGAAAATCGCCTGTTAGGGCTTGGTGACAGGGTCCAATCATCAGGTCAGCTTCCCAAAAAGAAAACGCCAAAGTGTGCCGTCACTGCCATATAGGAACGACAAACCAAGCCACGCTTGGAAGACTCGTCACGGGTTGCCTGCTAGGTTGAATGCTTCCTTTGTTTGGCTGCTGGTGAGTATCTGGCCACATCTGGCCGCTTGAGCATTCCCTGCTTGCTTGCTCCGAGTCATACTGGCAGGTCAGATTTACCACTGGGTTGCAACCTCTTCTGCCTCTTGCTCCGTGATCGGCAGAATTATTGTTGTGCCCCTGCCAAGCTATGGTTTCAGTCTCAACCCGCAGTCCTAGCTGAAAGCAGTATCTTGTCTAATCAAAGGAAGTGTTGTTAGAAAGCTTCAGTAATACGAGAAGTGGAGTTGCCCACATGCGAAACGCGCGAAGGGGTAGCCCTATTGTCTCAGGCAGTTCCCTAATGGCGCGGCCCCGCAGACTGTTTCGGAGGTGCAAATCGTGGCAGGCACAGCACTTTGGCAACCTGAGATTTCGTGGCAGGCGCAGCATTTTGCAGCCATGCAAGAGAACGACGCAACACTTTCGCAAGCTGGAGTACAGATTTCGCGACACGCGCGCGGCACTTTCGCAAGGTCTGGTGAAAGATAAATACAGAGATAGATCAAATGGAAAGAGAGAGAGAGAGAGAGAAAGACAGGGGGTGCTTTCTTTCTCTTCCTATAGGCACATGTCCTTTCTAGAAACTTCCGCCCTCCAGCTCTGCTGGTGTATACCTGGTATTCCCCACAAAACACAGGAACACCCCATATTCATAAACTGACGGTTACTAATCCGGGGTCAACATTACACCACAACGGATTCCAGTTGATGGGATCCTTTCATGTGTGCTTCAGATCTCTTGCTTTTAATGGCTTCCGAGCAGAAGCAACAGGCCCATCTCAGTTTGCTTTGTTAAGCGAAGGGATACGCTGGGAAACCAAACGAAGATCTGCACTGTCATACACAGTGCTTCGACAGAACACCTTGAATTTACCACAGTTGGGCTTGAGATTGCAAACCGTCAAAGCGTTGCAACCACAGACGCTACCGTAGCCATGAGCGAGCAACCGATGTCAGCTGCGCTGGTCCAGACATGTTCTCTTTCATCACAGCCCCCGACACATAAAACGCACACATCAAGCTTGCAACCGATGTGTGGTGATGTGTTCAGAAGCGTGCACTCTAATCGGTGGGACACGGTGGGACCCCTGAAGGGAAAAAAACACTTCAGTTCAAGCCCGGTCAGACACATGAAAGCTGGGTGTCAAAGAGGGGTCTGCAAAAAGGACGAAAACAGCAACCCATACCCTTTTGGTGTAATTTCAAACAGGGCATTTCTTGAGGTCCACATCCTGATAGGGATCCCTTTCCCCCGATGGTATGATGCTTGGCCACTTGGCGCCCTTCTCCGTGCCTCCTGCAGCACTTGCAGCTCTGCCGCCCGCAGGGCGGCGCACGCCGCGCGCGCCGCGGGCGCCTCGCCCATCGGCATCAGGCGGCGCTTGAGGCGCGCGAGCAACGCCAGGAGACCTTGGGATGTGAGAGGTCTCCCAACCCTGCCCCTATGCTCAAACCCTCATTGAGTCAGGTGAGTTGACAAAGTCAAAAGGGAAACCCTCCCCCAAACATGGTTGTGGATGGTTTCCCCTTTCTGTAGTATTCTTTTGGTGGCTGGTTTTGCACAACCATGACTTAATCATCTTTGGCGGGGAGTCCCTTGGGTGTACATGTCCATAGCCATGTCCTTGACATGACCCGGATAAGTCCACCAGGCGGGTTTGCACTTGATCAAAGTAAGCCGAGGAATTAATCCTCGGCGCATGGCAAGGTGGATTTTGGAATGGACCCAATGGAGGCTACTGCAAACGTGGAAGGGGAAAGCTATGAGTGCCCAATGGGCAATCTCTTCTAAAAGTCGCTGGGCTGGGAAATGACTCGGTGCTCGACTTGCAGGGGAGTCCCAAAAATCGAGAAACCCTGTAATTGATGTTAATAGAATATTGAAGACAATCAAACATTTTGCAGGTCTCCCGTATCTACTGAAATTCAGCTATGCGGCAAAAAAGGAACTCCAGCTTTGACACTTGTGTTTAAAGGGAAGGCCCCTCGGAATCGCCCCAGTGGACCTGTGGGCGCTCAGAATCGGCAAACTTCTTGGGCCCCACGCAGACCACCGCCTTGCGGCCCTGCGTAGTGCCGCGGGGAAAGCTCAGCGTCTGCGACGTCTGGAACTCCGAAAAGTCCGCCCTCCGGTCCGATGGCCGAGATATATCCATTGAAGCTCTTCGAATCTCAGAGAAATGCCCAGGATACTTGAGGAAGTCACGCTTAAAGGCTTGGGTGGGCCCAAACAAAGGGTTTTACCTTTGGTTTCCATTTCATACCAACGCAACAAGGGTAACCTCAAAACAAAGACACACCCAAGCGACACTCCATCTCCCCATCAAATGGCATTCAAGTGTCGAGCTCATATGCAAGACCTGGACCACAGTCAGCAGCTCTGCCGGCAAGGTGCCACTGGAGGGGATGCTGTACCTACGGCTGCAAAACTGCCTAAGGCAGGTGGACTCCAGAAAAAGCAATTGGTTTTAGGACGTTTCAGACAATGTAATGTCCTCCTAGTACTAGCACATGGATGTGGAACAAAGGCAGGCGGGTGGCCCAAACAAAGTAATAACAGCACCTGGAATAAAGGTAAGTACCCCCCACCCTGCCCTTCTGTTGAAGAAAACAAGAATTGAAGAGGAAGAGAAATCACAAGAGGAGAGGGGAGTAGCCAAGCCAAAAGCTGGTCCGTGGGGGCCTGAAGTAAAGACTGAAATTTCAGGGGGCACTACAATAAACTATTGTTGCCCAGTCCTTGAAAATATACAACTTACCAAGTATATTAACTACATCTTAGCTATTTAAATAGTTAGGCAGCCCAGGTGATGCCGTTGAAGCTTCAGGCTTTGTGGTTGGAATTGGGCCTGCTTCCCAATATCTAGAATGCCCCGCACCCCCCAACGCATGTTTTTTGCGTGTCTCTTCTGCAAAACCTGCCCGGGGTAGTTCAGGCCCCCAAGGTGGCTTTTTTCGGGGAGGTCTAGGAGGGGGGGGAGAGAGATGCCCAAGGCGGGGTACCGGGAGCCTGTCAAAATCTGTCAAAGCGAACCTTCGACTGTCGTGCATCATTAGTGAGATGTATCAAGTGCAGAGCATCTCCCTTCCAGGAACTGCAATCTTCGAACCCCCAACTGCGGCGGATCTTCGGAACTCCTGCACATGTGCCTAATTATCCCGGCAGACACTTGTGATCATCTTGTGCGATCTCAAACTTGAGCAGGCGTGCTTCGCTGTCCCGAATCTCCGCCAGTCGTCATGTGGCCTATTTCTTGGCTGTATGCCTAGACATGTATGCAGAAGTCATGATCAATACTACTCGTGTGGACGGACGATTTCCACAATTGATGAGATGGTTGTTTCGAAACCCTTAGGCTAGGAATTGACGATCGATCAAATTCACACTAGACAAATCAGAAACCCGCATTCCACATTGAAGGACACAAGGGTGTTCTGTCAATGTCCCACCACGCTAGGCGTGTGGCACTCCGGCACACGAAGATGCAGCCAAAGAAGCATCCAACGACCGCCTAGCAAGAATGATCTTGCTTTTCAGATTGCATCTATACCTTTTCGATACAGACGGGGTGTCACCTGGACTTCCCCCTGAGCCGAGGTGCATGGGACGTACGGCAGCCATGTCTTGCAAGCGCTCCAAGTGCGGTGCCACAAACTCCTTGCACCTGAGATTATTTTCGGGTTCGGTGCAACTTTGTGCCGATCAGGCCGGCCTTTCAAGGCGACACGTGGGCCCTCACTCACCAAACAACATGGACAGCTTCGAATCGCTTCCCCCTAATGTTAAATTCCGCCCGCCCCCAACCCCGCACCCCCACCCCCAATAAATGAATAGTGTTACGCTCCGAAAGGGATCCCAGAAGGTTTCCACTACAGTCCTCGCGCAAATTGGGACTCCCTTTGCCAAAAAATGTTAACATCCCAATCTGCCGAGTAAGGAAGTTGCATGAAATTGCTCAAGGCGCATATTTGGATTTCAAGGCAAAATCAAAATTGAATTTGAAAGGCTGATCGCGATGTTCCGATCACGAAAGGTGATTGCTAATTTATAATACGCTCACACAACTGAGCTTGGCGCGTGTCTAGAAGCTCCTCGTGCGTCACAAGCAGCGAATTGTGGGCGTTGCTACCCCGTTCCACCTGGGCGTGAATTGCGCTATGCGGCAAGTCAAAATAAAATGGGACAGATTGAAACAGGAACCGACATCGAGCTCATAAATTCTGCTGACTTGCTGAGCAAGGCGCAATTCAATTCAAACGACTAGTCCAAACATTTAGAAATTTGGCAGCTCCTCATAGAATTGGTAGGACGGTGCCACGACGAGCACTCCCTTTGTCGATTGATGGTGTTTTGGTTGGCCCCCCCTTTTGGGAAACCCAAATTTTGGGTGACCCCGATTTTTAGACCGGATAACATCTTGCTTAAAGCTTGGCCACGAGTCCCGCTCAGCCTTACTTCCGACGGCTTCGTTTGAAAACCACTGAGGTCAGAGGGAAAGTGACTGTTTGGAATCTGTTCGTTATGACACACTGCCAAATGTGTTCCTTGCTCTTGCCATGGGAATGTGTCTAATTCTGTCCTATGTTGATGCGAAAAAGGTCAACAGCACTTATTCTTGTTCAAACCCACCCAACAAATCCCAGCAGCTTGGTTACAAATACTGCCGGTCTCGAGGCTTTCTGCAATGGAAACTAGTCAGAATGTGTGATTACCCAGCTGCCCAGTTGGTTACACATATCAGCGACCATTTCATTTGGGGACTGCCCGTGAACCTGAATCTACAGGCCAGCAGAAGGTTTAACCTCTTGGGCCTTGACTATGAAACAACCTGCCAACAGTTTCCAGTGACTACCATGAACAAACTGGCCGACAAGCTAACATGGAGAAGCTTTCCAGTGTAAAGGTTTCAAGTTTAAGTCAACTCAGCAGCAAGTTCAGGGTAACCCGGTTGGGTGTGTTCCCCTTGGGTCATGGGTTGTTTACAAAAAAAGAAGAAAAAACAACGCGCACAACCCCCCCCCGCCCCCGCGTTTGGCCATTCCGGACGAGAAGCAAAGCCATAGGTTCGCAGCAGCTCGGCCGCCGAGTGGGGCCCATAGGATTTCAGCCTCGCAAGTTCTGTGGGTTGTGGTGGACCCCTCTGGGCTGGGTATCTAAAGGAAAACCAAGTTTGGGAAGAGCGGCGTTGACCCCTTTGGGGTATGTATATAAAGGTAAGCCAAAAGCAAACCAGTCAGAAAAGGGATCGACCGCTCTTTTGAGAAACGCCCACATTATGGAGACAAAAATAAGGAGGACGCAAACCAAGAGTGTGCAACCTTGACACATGTGGGCCGGGCCCGTCTGGACATTTGGGAAGGCCATTGCACTCCTCCTGGCAAATAAGTCAGCAACAACAAACTACTATTTTAATCCTCAGGCGCGAACTCGGTTTGGAGCCACGAGAAGCATTGGGGCAATCTGAGACATCTCTGCGTTAGAAGTCACTTGTCCACATACATGGCTGGTCACCAGTTCCAAAGAACCCCTTCTTGTGTGGCCTTGTTTAGCCTCACGCGAACAAGCCACATTGAGCAAACACCGTGTCCGGGTGTCGTTGGAAAAGGCTGGCAACCTGCAACCCTCATGTCCTCCCGAAATGAGGAGAACCAACCCTCCTCATCTCCAATGTGTTTCTGTTGAGGAAACACCGGCATATTCACAAAAAATGAACACACCCACTTTCTTGCTTGGGAAAACATGCACATGCTCGTTGGGGAACTGACAGACCAATGTTTCTGTCTCCCAGATTTTGGGGAAGCCAGAGCTCACCCTCAAGTCTGCCGGAATTCTATCGCTCGGACTCGGAAGCCCAAAAAAGGCGAAGCGGCCAAACCGGGCTGTCCTCAGATCCCCTGCTGAAAGCTTAACTTTTAGTGGGTTCAATGGAAATCCCCACACCACTAAAACGCTAAAACGCTAAAAAGCTAAGGAACCAGATGGCTAGGTGCCACCAAGCAAAAACTCGGGGCGGCATCCCCACAGAGCCCAGGTGCAGCTCCTGACCTGCCGCCACATCCTTGGAACAGCGCGCCACGAAGCTCCCCTCCTGACGGGGGAAAAAACCGGTGGGTGCCTCGTCTTTAAGGTTGGACGCCCCCAAACTGGTGGGCTTCCTTTTGGCTTCCCTTCAAACACCAACCAAAAAAGAGGTTGCCCGCCCCAAAAAGACAGGCCCGTGTAAAACCTGGAGGAAAACCAGTACCGCCCAACAACTGCTTTTCACCATGTTCAAAATCCAAAGAACTGTCCAAAAAGCAGTGGGTGGGGGGGGGGGGGGGAGCTGGAAAGTATTGCTCTTATCTTAGCAATGATGGCCAGCGAACAAGCGGGACCTCCTTTGGGCGGCCATTTGACAGCCAATGGGGGCGTCTTGGTGGCCGCAAACCGGAAAACATCTGCTGATACACGCAACTGGAAGACACCCTCGAAGCTCAGGGCTGGCACCGACAGCGGTCGGCCCTGCCAACACGTCTCGAGTACCAGGGGGGCCCAGTGGCCCTTTTAAGGATCGAGAATTGCCCTTGCATCCCCTTGTTATTTGGAGGTCCCCTTTAGTTTGGGGTTAGATTCTTATGCCAAACCCCGAAGTCAGGGCTCTGTGGGCTCAGCCCAAACTAAATGAGTCCCATGGATACGAACCTCCAAATGGGCAGCTGTCTCTCTGTTTAAACAGCTCTTCTGACGAGTAAAAACAAATTTGAAACGCAGACTGTGGAAGAGTGTAGTTCACAAAACAAACGCTTGCTGCCAGTTGCATAGAACTGGTCAGCAAACCTGTACCGCTAAAGTACACGTGGAGCTCCCCTCAAAAGGGCGAGCCGCTGGTACATGTTGAGACACATCCCCACTCCAGGCCGACTCCCCAAAAGTGCAAACAACATCTAAAACCCCCAGGCAAATGCTTGAAACTAGCCTGGCATCAGGAATGCCCATGATTCTGACCCCTCATAGGTAAAAGGTTCTTCTCCCTCAGTCGCAATTTACTCTGGTTTAGCGCTTGCGGATTTCTGTCCTCCATATCCAGCTGCACCGAGAGCTCCTCTGAGCAGGAAGAGTGGTTGACCAGATCGAAAAGCCTGGGCTTGAGTTGACCGATCCAGTCGAAAGGTCACAAAATAGAAAAGAGAGATTTTGCCAGAGCCACTATCAACAAAATGCTTGACTCCTTGACTCGCAAAGCAACAATCAGGGACTATTCTAAAGAGAAAACAGCTGGAAGCTTGCAATCTCAATTCTCAAACCCGAGCTAAAACGGTGGAGAAGAGACAAGAGACGTACCGACCGGTACAAATTGGGTAGCTGTAACTGGGTCTGGCAAAAGTCGCTGACAGTCTATCATAGGACACCTGCAACAATCAGATTTGCCAGAATCAATTCATCCCCGGCGTACAGCAAGTATTTGGTGTTCAGGCGTGGTGTACTTTCTACAAATCATTCTGAATGGACTGGCCCAATGATGTCGTGATTTGGTGATCTACCTGTGGCCAGCTAAATCAACTTTGTGTAGGGCTTGCAGCCTTTGTAGTGGTTTGGTTGGTTGGTTGGTTGGTTGGTTGCTTGCTTGCTTGCTTGCCTGGTCGGTTGCTTGGTTGGTTGCTTGGTTGGCAGTCTGGCTAGTTGAGGGGTTGAAAATCCATCACAGTGTGGCAAGAATAATTTTGGGCGAACTTGCCATCCGGCCCTAGAGAAGGACAATGCTGGTTTCTCAAGCCAACTTGTCTAACAGGGTTGTTCCTAGTGATTTGGTGAATGCCCTTATCCATTTGGGCAAACAATGCGCTGATAGTGTGTATCTTTCTGCCAGGTCCTTGGGAGGCACATTCATAGATTGGCCGTACAAATCGCCCTATTCGCTTGCCCCAATGTCTTGTGCAGGCTGGCATGACCCTTGGCAAATATTGTGCATCATAGTCCCTCTCTTCGCTGACTTCTCAGCTGTTCCAACTACCAATGATCAGCTGGACTCTGCATAGACTGAGTCAGTGTCTTGCTTTTGCTAGCCGGACTGCGAGGGGGGTCCACTTGGGTGCTGCGCCGATCCAAGCAAAGGATCATCACTCTTGAGTGGCGTCTAGTTCCCTCGCTTGCTTCACACTGTAGCCACCAACGCACTTCCACCAGCAACACGTACATCTTATTTACGTCTGTCCTCTAGAATGGGTTGGTTTCCTCTTGATTTCAGTCTAAATGCCAATCAAAAGGGTCCTACTCCCACGAGAAACTCCCAAAAGGCCAGGAAAAGGGTCCGTATCCTTGAGCCGGCTTGCTGCTGGCCCCCCGCGGTGCGCTGCTCATTGAGGATGGGCCCCGTTGCCCCGTCTATCACTCAGCACAAGGGCACCGTTTTTGGGTGGCGCAAGGGAAAGCACAAGGACACCACCCACTTTGGGGGTCCCTATTTTGACACATACCCATACAAGTATTGTGACATGGGACACCCTTGGAATCATACCATCAATCTTTGGTATATATATATATATATAGCTTCATTGCTTCTCAGCTGGATCACTTTCCTTCCGAGAGCAGAGAATCAGCCAGCGAGGTTAGACGTGCCCAGATGACTTTGCCCTGATCAGTACAAGCTGATAGCTTCAGCAAGCCATTGTATTTTGGACGCCCTCTTCGGCAACGTGCAGGCTTTCTGTCGCGGGCACAGCATCAATGACCTGTTTAGTTGATTTGGCCCAACCCAACTTTTTGTGCATAGCTCAAACACTCCTTGCATCTCCTTGCCAAGAGACTGGCAGAATGTCCACTTTGCTGCGAGAGGCTTGCATGCGCGTATTAAGGTATTAAGGGATATGCCAAGCCTCATAAACATGCAAGATTGTAATCGCAGCACGGATCAGGCTCCTGTTGGTTCCCGTTGTGACGGGAAGGGTCGGGTTCTTCCAACATTTGAGGGCGTTTTTTTTTGAGGGTGCCCTTTTTCGGTGGCATTCTTTCCAGGCAGCCAAAGGGAACACCACCCTGGGGAGACACACCCATGTCCCCCAAGCAGCCAACAGGTCGCCAAGGTGCGGCAGCAGGAAGGGCCCCGCAGCTTTGCCCGGATTTCGCAGCTCTGGCGCAAGGGCGCCCTGCAGCGCGAAGGACAAAGCCCCACAAAGCCCCCGAGACCTCGGCGGTCCGGAAAACTAGAAGGGATCTGTGTAGCCTGAAAGCGTACTTTTAGTGAACCAGGAGGAGCCTGAAAGTAGATTCTTAGATGGCACACGTACTTTTTATGAGAAAGGAGGAAACAAAACCGACATTGGAAATCGTGCCATTTCCTTTGGCCTGACGGTAAATTTGATCGTCCGCCGTCCGCTCTGAAAAAGTAGGCTTTGAATGATCCTGCCTTTGAAACCAGGAACCAAGAGGAACATCAAAAATCCTGCAAAATATAAGATGCACTTGGATGCAACTGCGAGAACAATGAAAATCGTTCAGATCGGAGCCAGCAAAAGCATACCTGCTGTGTATCCTGAACTTGGTAGATCAAGAATATCTATTTCTTGACACTGGCCAAGCTCCCCCAAGTTTCGCAGTATATCCAATGCAGGGATCATTCCTGGGATCACTGGAAAGGGGATTACCACAAACTGGTCAACATCCACTGCGCACCTCTCACGGGCATTCCTGGCATCCGCGCGACTGAGTTAAGATCCTGGCATAACCAAGGAGAGCGCACGGAGGAACCTCAGACCACTGTGCGACTACATGTAAGCTCAATCTGGATGGTGCTGATTGGCAATCTGTCCAAACAAGCAATAAATCTTCTGATTGAATTGAACATTCCCGACAACCGCATGACATCTAACGCAGCT